GGTGTCATACTTTTACTTTCACCACAAAAAATGCAAGCCCCTGTGCTGTCCCAAAGCAGTTCACTTTGCTCTTAATACATGTATCATCATCATCCTCTCATTGACAGAACAATTTTTTTCACACACCCATAAGAACGGACAATTCATCAGCATCCGTTGTCATAAAAGTACCTCTTATCAGGCTGCAATGATCATGAAGTCAGTAAACATAATACGTAAAATAAAATTGTTATGGTATGTCCATCTTTATTGAAATGCAAAAGTCGGAAACAAAAAAATACAACAAATGGTCAGTGTCACAAGAGCAAATCCAAGTAACGGTAATGAAAGTCCAATTTCAATAGGGGCAGGTGCAAAAACACTTTTGAGATTTAAATATTTCTTTTTATGATCTACCAACAGATCAGTCAGCGGGATGAGAAGCTGTCCGTATCCCACAGTTCAAATCTTAACCATAGACAAAATATGTACTCAAACTTTGCTGAACTGCAGCTTTTTTACAGGTTGGAAAGTTACAATGATAAAATTGTACGCATTTAACTCTTCCATCGACACAATTTAGATAATTCAGGTGGGAGCTGCTTCAACCCAACCTGGGCTGAGAGTAATTTCTTCGGCCTGCGACACTGAAGCAATTAATCAGATGTGGTCAAAAGTTCAGCAACAAACAAAAGATTTAAAAGTGGGCACAGGGTTTTTTTCCTTTTCAGTTTTAGCAAGAGTTTTACGGCACTTGCAACACAATTAGGTCATATAAGTCCGGTACTGAAGATTAGAAGTGTTTCAAGAGAGTAACCAAAACAAAAAAAGAAGGAAGAAAGAAGAGGACGACAAATGTTTTATGGGAAAGAAGGAGCGAACCACATAAGAGCACCCGCCAACTACCCACACACAGGGTTTACATGCTCCACGAACGATATGTATACAATGTAGGTGAATGTCAAGGCCAACGATAAGTTCTGTACTTTGGGAATGAATAAACCGACAGGTCTCTCTATCACAATTGATATAAAAGGCAGACATGAAAAAACAAAATAACAAAAACACCCGTTAATGAATGTTGATGTGACAACTGTTTCTCTTATTTCTCTGGCTGTTTTAGAAGTTTTGCAGGTCCTCATAGGCACTGTTTCAGAATGCAAACTCACATATGTGCTGTGCCCTTCCAACTCAAACGCTTCAGGATCATAATTTTAATTGAATTCTCCATATTTCAAGTAAAGTGAGCATTGCTGATATAATATTCATTATGATTCTAAACTATCCTTTCAAAAAAACCCAACCAAACTTAGGATTGCTTTAACTACTTGTTCTACACCATCACTGGTAAAGCGAGACACCTTTCTTCTCTGTGCGAGGGTTCAAACAATTTCACTTTTTAAAGTCCCAGCCTCATCTCTGCTTAGACTACAGTACTAATGCTAGGTTCAAGTCTGAAATAATTACATGATTTTTTTTTAAAGCATCATATCTTTTCACCCCCCCCCCCCCCCCAACAAATTACCTTCTTTAAAATTGTAACAAACTATCACGTTAAATAAAAATAACTGTGCACATATTTCTTCACACCTTCAAGTACTAGATCATCAGAGCTCACATAAACAGTTTTTTTTTAAAAAGGCCTGTATCTCCATTTGTGGTTAATCAATTACGTAAGCTTAACTCTGTTTTTATGGATTGATGCAAATCACTTTGAAACAGCACTGAATTCCAGTCGTGAAAACGGGAGTTAGCACAAAAGGAAACCTATTATCTGAATCCAATCAATATTCTTAGTAAGTAGTGGGCGTTTTAAACTACAACATGACACTGTTCTACAGAAATGGGTCTTTCAATGGCTACGAAGGAAAGGGGAATTTTTAAGCTTCGCTGTGAATGAAGTACAACAACAGTCATAAAAATTTTACGATGTATTCAAATGTAAAACATTCAATTCTCAGGTTTCAGTTAAAAGAGAAAAACTCTAACATACGTTTGGAAAATGTTTCCAAATGAAAGCTAAAAAAGAAAGTTAAGAATTCATTAAAAGGCAGGTTTGGTTACTGACATAAACAGTTTTAAAAAAGAGTAATAGTAAAATTAACTGACTTTAAATGTGTTCTTCTCAAGTTCACAAGAATTCAAAAAGGCATTAATCAATTAAAAATTGAGATACTGGAGAAATATACACAGTGTCATGCATGGAAATAAAGGGCTCTCATGTGGCACTATCAGTTAACAATGTCTAAAAAACACATTGTGCCATGTTTTTTTCCCAGGCCACCATACATAATGGAAACTTTATGTTGAAATTTCTCAAATATTTACTTTTTATCACATCATGATCCTCCCAATTCAATTTAAAAAATTAGCCGTTTCATATCCTTATTTTCATCCATTAAAACTTTCCAGAGGGGTACGACCTTTCTAAAAATACAAGATACGTGTATATATATTTATAGAATCTCCTGTTTACATTTTAAGATATCAACACCTTGGCTTATCTTTGACATTCGAAACTTGACAATAATTATCAAACTGTTTTAATGCTCGACTAAAAACAACAGCAAAAATGAAAGCTTTTGGAAACCTTTTTGATAGCTAACCGACTTAGGAAAGCAATTTCTAATCACCAACAAATGTTCACAAAAATATTAAGTTGATAAGTAGAATGAACTAAAAAAAAAGGAGTCATCTTGTGACTTATCAATTTGGTTGGTTTTTGCAATAGCCTAACCAAATTTTTGTATAAAAATCCTTTGCTTGAGACTTTTAAATTTATGAAAACACGAACATAATTTTTCTGAGTACAGAGTTATAGATTTAGAGCAGGTATTGTTAGAGGACCTGTGGTTATCACCGCAGATTGATATTATCATGGAGAATTTTTTTTCTTTTTAAATGTGAACATTTGCACTTTTATCAAACAGAAGAATTAAACATTCAGAATGCAAGCATTCTGAAGTAGCATCAGAGGCAATGCGAAAATATTTCTTCAACAGGAATATTCATCTTCAACTCAGTAATAAAACTTGACAACAAACATCTGAATAATAGAGATTTAGTTATAGTTTTAGTAAGAGTTTTACAGCACTTGCAACACCATAAGGTCATATAAGGGCCGAAGATTAGAGGTGTTACAAGAGAGCAACAAACACAAAAAAGAAGGAGGGGAGATAAAGACGATAGATGTTTGATAGGAAAGAAGAAGCATACCAGACCAGAGCACCGAATAATAGAGATCAGACTGAAAAAGTATCCCGGCCTGTCATAAAATGATATCTTTACTTTTTATTTTATTTAGAAAGAGTTTTGCAGCACTTGCAACACAAATAGGTCATATGAATGTCGAAAGATTAGAGGTGTTACAAACACACACAAAAAAACAAAACAAGGAGAGATAAGGACGATAGGTGTTTGAAGGGAGAAAAGGAGCAAACCCCGGCAGAGCATCTACCAACAAGCACCCACTATCTTTACTTTTCAGGACAGTACACAAGTTGCAGTACCTCAGTCACTTGATATATTCGAGGGGCGGGGGGGGGGAAACGGGACAGAGACTTGACGACAGTAAATGGAAGTCATAACGCTGAACCAGGATTCTTTTTAAAAAGAGATTTATTGTAAATGTTTCCACTCTCCATCGATATGTTTTAGACTATTTCGGGGGCTGGCCACATCAGTGCTGTCTATTAGGACAAATCAAGGCCAAGTGGGAAATAGTATCGCAGCAGACAGATGGAAATATCTAATGGAAAATTTCCTTGTGCAGGAATTGAACTCATGTCTTCTGCATATAATGATGAGCCAAACAACTATTCCCCCCCCCCCCCCCACACACACACAAAGGCCAGAACTTACTGATTGTGTTCGGTAGAAGAGGGGCAATGTCTGGCAGGGTACAATAGTGGTTTAACAACCCAATGCAACAGTGACAGAGTCTGGTATGGTACAAAAAAAAAAAAGGCTCAGTGCCCTTGAACTTAAATAATGGCCAAGTCTTGACATTTTCAAAAAAATTGTGTTGCGTATAATCACATCCTAAATTTAAAAAAACTATTTTTTCGGTGCAAACCCATGTTTTCCACAGAAGACGAACAATTCTAAAACAACTTTTAAAATGGCAGGCACTGACTCAAATAAGGGTCAGCATCAAACACCTTTTAAAGTCAAAAGAAAAAAAACAAACTTTTAAAATGTCTCCTAAAAAATAAACTTTCCCAGACTCTTTCATTGCCCATCTGACAACATTCTTACAATAAAATAATACGATGCATCATGAGATAAAAACACAAAATTTGGAAAGAATCTTAGTCTTAGTCAATAATAACAAAAGATGAAAAACCATACAGTTCTTGTCTTACTACATGATGCTCAATCTCCACACAGAATCCGACACTCTCCATTAACTCTCAGAAAACATGTTTCTATAGTACAAAAGAGCTGTCTATATCGACCACACAGTGTAAGACTCCATTATACGTCCTTTTCAAAATGGCGCACAGCAGTCTTACACTAGGCAGTCTATATTATGTATATATTTAGTATATATGTATGTCTCATTTATTAGGAAAAAGGAGGGGGGGGGGGGGTGGAGGAACAATCTCAAAGCCTCACAAGCAACCATAGCCATTTTGAGTCTGTGGACGCCATATGAATTTTTTTGTGTGGAACACAATGAAAAGCGCATATACTTGTTAAGCTCTTCCATGCCATGAGAAAGTAATAGAGGGCCAATTCTTCTGTAACAGTTATAAATCATACAGAGTGAAAGTACATATAAAAATGAATCCTCAGGCATCATAAATTACATACATAAGTGATCACAGTCTTGTAACTTACACTCCTCTGACAAGTGTTATCTTTAAAAAAAACACCAAAAAAACCAACAAAACCCCACCCCCAACAACTCATGTCAATGTCATATGTCCTGCATAAAATACGAGTCAACAAAACTTCTCATCCTGTACAATATGTCACAATCACTTTATATAACACAGATCAATACGGAAAGAAATTGTGTCCTCTGTTAAAGCCCATCTAGTACAAAATAATGTTATATTACATTACAAAGAAGTGCACCTACAAATTTTTTTCAATACGAAAAGCCATTCACCAATGATGACCACACTGCCCAGGAAGAACTGACAGAAATCCACAACAAAAAACCAGAGGATTTGGAAGGAGGAGTATACCCAGCAGTCTCATGTGATCCCCTCCTGCAATTCTGACACATACAAAAAGACAGAAGAAGGAGAAGAAAAAGAAAGAGAAAAAAATAATAATTAAAAAACAAAAAATAATGTGAAGAAGAAAAAGAAGAAGAAGAAGAAGAAGAAGAAGAAGAAGAAGAAGAAGAAGAAGAAGAAGAGGAAGAAGAAGAAGAAGAAGAAGAAGAAGAAGAAGAAGAAGAGTAATCCTGCATTCACATTACAAAAAAACAAAACAAAACAAAAACCGAACAAGCACAAACAAATAAGAAAAGTAATCCTAACTACGGGATTGCACAAAACAAGCGAATGTAATCATTTTTTCTATCCTCCATCCTTGTCATGCCACGGCCACTGGTATGCCAGCAAAGTGAGCTGGCCCTGTATGTAATATGTTGAGTTGTAGCATACAATAAGTCAGCTTAACAACTGCTGCATTTCTCCTTGGCACAGATATCAGGACAACAGAAACACAGGAAAAAGGAGGAGCAGACAACATCAGAGAACCCATCATCGACCTTTAATGCCTTTTTTTTTTCGGTGTGTTTTTGTTTTCAAACATGTTTTCAGCATCCATCAACCGAAGCAGAAGAAGGAGGGGGATACAATGCCTTATTATCAAACAGTTGGAGATTCTTGATCTAAAAAAACCTCCCCACATTGGAATTGAACACACCTCTTCTGAGAGTGACAGTGAAGAACCCAACCATTAATTCAAAGATGCCAGTGCCCTGAAGTCTCAGACAGCATACATGCAACATTGTACACAAACATTCCCCGTCCCTCTCCAACAGTTGTCAACAAAAAGTCGTCTCTTCCTCTGACTCATGTTATTAAGAAATGGTTAAACATGTGTTTTCTAATGGAACAAAATTCTTTTACTGGTACAACTCTTTTGGCCGTGTCCCCCCGTTGCACAAAAAAAAGTTGGCTGACAACTGGGACCTTTTTCCAGGCACACACACACACATGTGAGGTGTGCAAACCAAATGAGGTACTTCTTGACATTGGCTGATTATTGACACTCGGTAAAATCTGTTGAATTTATAATGATGCCATTTTCTTCACATTTAAAATGTCTTTTATCATTACATACAAATAAATTGTACAAACTCAACCTACAAATTTGACGTACATATGTAGGCCCTATATAACATAACTAAAATCAGAAAAGTAACTCATTTTGTTAGCATGCCTCACATAACGTCCCCGTATTAGGACAAAAGAACAATTACGTTCCACCTCCTTCTATAACTTACGGCAGGTGTCTCAAATGTGCAACCTGTGTTCAAACTGAGGCCTGCTGAAAAATATTTTGCGGCCTTACTTGACAGTAACATTTATTGCGCAGTCCCCAAGTTTTTCTCATATTCCATTCACCCTTTTGCTGAGGTGTTGCCCTGGACTATAATATTTTAATACAAACTTCATTTATGGACTACCCTAGAACTGTTTATATTCTGAACTGCAATTAATAAAGATTAAAAGGATTATATTAGTGGTAGGCTACTTTTAAAAAACATTCTTCAAACAGTTTCTTTTTTAAGCTTAATACTTGATGTGGCCAAGGCTTATCTCAATATAAAACCCGAAAAGACTGTAATATGAACAATCAATTCTTCTTTTTAGTAAGAAGTATAAAGACAAAATAACACTAAGGAAAGTATAGCAACCTTCAAATTATGCCTTGGTGACTAAAAAAATGATGATAAAACCATCCTAAAATTTAACAGTCAAATTTTTGTTTAGACAGTAAAAGTAGAAAGGTACGGACATTTCCAGAAAGTGGAATGAAGGCTTTTTATTTGAACATGCAATCAAACATGAATCATCAATACAATCAGAGTTAAAATTTCATTTTGGGAAGGGAGGGGGAGGGGTCTTCCAGCTATTATGTTCTCTATGTTAGCATTAATAGTTGGTATGATATAACATGGCACAGACAACATTCAACACTTAATGTTTCTGAACTGCATAAATAAAATGGCACCTATGGACAAAATGCCTCTCACTCGCCGCGCCCAATCTCACTTTTCATTTTTCTATAAATTTCTTCACTATCCCCTGCTCTGCCAACAAGCCCAACAGCATCATTGTAGGCCAGAAAAGTACACACAAAAAAAAAAGGAACATTCAGAGTCTAAATGGAATGGTGTCCTCTTTTTCCACTTCATCCACGTGCAGCAAGGGAATAACGAGGCTGCAATTGAGCTGACTCACTGTAAACAACAACCCATCAATGTGAAACGTGCCGGAGTTGTGAGACCATTCTTTTTCAAGTATCACCTGAAAAAGACATTGGCAACGATGGTCTGCTAATCATTATTCTGCTCAGATGTTTTAAACCACCTTCCTTTACAAGTCTGGTAACTATTATCACCATAAAAATACATCTCCATATGCAGGCAGCAGTTAGATCAGGATCTAGACCCCAAAACAAGTTCAGCCATGGAGCGTAAATATGCAGAGCAACATAAACTGTGAAGCACACATATTCATTTGTGACTCCTTTCGCACAAATATGTGCAGGAAATTAAACTGAGAAGCACACCTTTATGCCTGGCTCCTTCGCAGACTCCATCTGTGATCAGAAGCAGGAAAACTTGAGTTCAGACTGCAAATAAGCACCAGTCAACAAAACCAGCCAGTTGGCACTGAAATTAAGATGAGACGCTGTACAAGTCTTTTCTATCTCCGATCTCTGGCTGGGTTTTAATTGAAGAGGGTGTGTGGGGCAGATGTGGTAGGAATAATATTGACCACACTTACTTAAAGTGAAGATGTCCTTCAACATATACAGCACTATAGCCATGAAGCTGTTCAACATAAACACAACAGAATCTGGTCTTTCAACATGTATCTGTTCGTTCAAGATATACATCATTGCCATGTAGCTGTTGGCTCAACAATATACAGCAATGCTGTTCCGCTGTCTGTTCCAACACACAGCATAGCCACTGAAAGTATGTATGTCTTTGTCCAAAGAGAAAATCCTCCAAGTGGGGAGCATTTTTTGAAGAAAAAAAAATCTCAATCAATAACAATGGTCTCTGACTGCAAATGCTTGGCTCTGCTGGCTGGAAGTTCTGGGTAGTTCCTCTCCACAATGACGCAGTCTTGGCTGTCTCTGTCAGCAGCACCACTACCGTTGTCCTCCCCCTCTTCAATCTCAGCCTCCTCCAGTTTCCTCTTGCGGCCGCGAGTGAGACGCACGGCTGATGACACACTTTTACTGTTGTTGTTCTTGCTGTGCTTCCTGGAGGCTTGACGTTCTTTCCCTTTCGTTTTCCGAGCAGCCCCGTCTTCCTCTGTGTTGTTATCTTCCTCTTCCTCCTCTTCGTCCATGCTGTCCTGAGACGGAATGTGAATGGGGGATTTACGACTCGAGTCAATACACAAAGGAGAGGCCCGTAGCGGCTGAGTATTGCAAGAAGTGCCACAAGCACCACTGGCAGAAGCAGAGACTCCCAGTGTGGTCTGAGACACAGCCAAGGCCTTCTCGTTGGTTGGAAACTTTGTAGTTGAAGACGATGAAGCAGCGCTGATGGGAGTAGGAGACGGGTTGTTGCTGCTACCGCTGTTGTTATTCATCGAAGGCACGAAGCCCATGCTGCCTACCGAGCTCTGAGAAACGCTTGAGGCCGAAGAATTCCGGGACAGGGCTCGAACTGGGGACTGCTGCACACCGCACGTCTGACTGGCCCCACACGAAGAGCTTGTGGAGCTGGAGTTGTTACTGTCGGTGCTGCTGCTTCGGTTGTCCACAGAGTTTTTCTTCTGTTTGCGTCTTCGTGCGAGGGGAGCCGTGGCCACTTCCTGAAGGCGGAAGCCGTTGCGTGTGGCAGCATGAAAGGCATCTATGGTAGTGTTTATCTGGTCCTGGACCTCGTCGCTGTGAGCGTTGAGCACACCTGGTGTCCGGAGGGGCGTGTGCGACAAAGGGGAGTTGACGTTTTTCCGCAGCCACTTGTGCTTGACCAACTCCTGCATGCGCAGTCTCCTCTTGGGCTCCACGGTCAGCAGTCCTGGGGAGAACAAAATTCAAGGTGTTATTACAGAGTTTAAATTTAGTAAGAGTTTTACAGCACTTGCAACACAAAAATGTCATATAAGTGCCGAAGATTAGAAGTCACAAGAGAGTAACAGACACAAAAAAGAAGGAGGAGAGATAAGGATGATAGATGTTTGATAGGAAAGAAGGAGCAAACCACACCAGAGCACCCACCAACCACCCACTATTACAGAGTAACATACAGAAAAGAAAAGAAGGTGAAGAGATAACAACGATAGATGTTGGATGGGAAAGAAGGAGCAAACCACACCTGAGGACCCACAACCATCCACAATTGAGCAGGAAGGGATTAAATAACAGTCCAATTCAAGACAGTCTCTTACTTTCTTAGAAAAGAAAAGTTGCTTTCGTAGACATTTTACAGCACCTGCAACACGACTAGGACACAAAAACCCAAAGATTAGTGGTGTTACTAGAAACATACACAAAAAAGGAGGAGAGATGTGCACAAAAGATATTTGGTAGGAAAGAAGGAGCAAACCACACCAGAGCACCCGCCAACAACCCACAAGTAAGACATAGAGACAGACAAATAAAAACAGAGGTAAAAAAAAATAAATCAAGACCCACCACTGAGTTTAGCTTTATTAAGAATTTTACAGCATTTGCAACACAAGTAGGTTATATACACCTGCGCTATGACTGTGAACCAACTGTGAAGACTTCAGTCTTTCTCATCATTAGTGCCCGGCAAGGCATTTTTCTTGGAAACAGTTTGAGTTTTAGTGAAGCACATGGACACAATAACTGTCACTCAGTGTGGTGGAAATGTAAATCAGACATATAGAAAAAAAAAGTGTAAAAGATCAGAAGTAGGACCTATCAGAGTCTGATAGCAGAACCCCCCCCCCCCCCAAAATTTTTTAATCCAAAAAAAAGAACCCAACCAGTGTGAAAGTGAAAGTACAGAATTAAAATCCACCAAGTGTGAAATGATAGAAGTAAGACCTATTATCAGGGGCGCCCTCCAACCACCCGCTCTGACAAACGAACAAACAAGACGTGACCAACCTTGAATGAGTTGCTTGGCCGCCAGCGACACCTCTGACCACTCGGAGCCGCTGAGGTCAAACTCGCCGTCCTGGATGCGCTGCATGATGCTCAGGGCACAGTCGGGGTCGTTGGACACTTGGAATGGGACTCGGCCTGACAGCATTGAGTACTGGAGGGAGAAATAAACCATTGAGAACTGGAGGGGGAACAAACATTGAGTACTGGAGGGGAGAGGGGAACATTGAGTACTGGAGGGGAGGGGGGAACATTGAGTACTGGAGGGGGAACAAACATT